TAAAGTAACTCTTTGCGAACGTCAATGGAAGATAATCAAACCGTTCTGTTTATTCGCCCATTGACCGCTCATTAGAGTGAATATAGGTAGTTATTCCAGGAAGAAAGGAGGGAATGGAGGGGAAAGAAGGGTTTTCTGGTAACTGTAAGATGCGGTGGTAATCTCTTATTCCTCTGTTCCATTCTGTTATGCACATAACTTTGCTCCAAAAAAGTGTCATTTTATCATGAACAACGTGTAAACATATTGACCGCTATATAGCTTTACCCACTCTCACACAAGAGTAATTTGGCATCGTCGGATGCGCATATGTACTAATCCCAAACATCAACAGTTCCTGCATTTCGTGTGAAAGCAACACAGAGCATCTTCAAATATTATTGTGGTACTGCTGAAAGATTTCAGATCTATGGTTGCTCTGGGGAATGTCAGAAACGGAAAGGCAGGAAATCCCAATCTTCCAACTGCTCAGAATATGTTGGAGATGGTCGGTAGCACAACTTGTCGATAGACTGCAAAGAAACACCGAAACAAAAAGCGAATTTGCTGTTTTGACCTTACAGAGGTACGACATGAGACTGGAAGCAGAAGCGCAAGCGTACGCCAACACGTGCCCAACAAGTGAATCTGCTACATCTGGCGAAAATTTCGCATTAGTTTCCCCAACGACAATCACACCTCTTCAAGCTGTTGTTCAGGTAAATTCAAAAAAAAGTTGAAAGCTTAAGTATGCTCATGATGCATTATAGGCTGTGAAATCATGGTGGAGCGTAATATGGCGTAATGGTATAAATAGGAGGCTTGTATACACGATATTTCTGGAACGTAAACCAACATCGCCAAGAACATTCACTCAGGCGCGTCAAAAGAGCGTAAACAACACGTTAAATTAGGCTTAGCTACCATGCAATAAATGAGCACTAAAGTGCATAGCTGCTAGTCAAATCACTGCATAATTACAACAAAAGAATGGGCAAATTATTGAAACAACAATATCATTAAAAGCTGAATGGCTCAAATTTTTGATAGGAAAAGCTAGTGAAGTTCTAAAATCCTACCCATTCTGTACCTCGACTCCTTTCCTGTAGTTTTACATC